AATGGCACCCACTGACATTCGTCAGTTCTTGCTGAAAATTTATCAAGACCAAACAACAGATGTGAACAGAGTGAGGTGTTTCAGCATTGATGTGAGAGAGAAGCCACGTTACAGATGGCAGTGCAGATTTTTATGACTGGCATGCAGGCTTTTGCTCATCAATTCTGAAAACATACAGCTAATGGTGTTGACTATCTTGAAAATTCTGTTTTGTAGCTCTGAATTTGCTCTCTCAAATAGCGTTGTCGTGCTCTTTGTACCTGCTCTAGTTTCCATAGAAATGAAGAGGAGACAATAGTTTTGGAGTTACCTATGTATTAGGTCACTGCTAGATCACATGGATACTGCTAGTTCACAGTCAATGGACATGACTTCAATTGTATCATCAAAAAATAATTTTAGACTAGTACATTGTCTTGCCTTTTTGGCAAATTTTATCAGCATTTTTAGTTTGGATTCATTCTTGTTACGGCATTATCTTAACAAATGTTTATGTATTTCTTCTCCTGAGTTTCAATCAAGGATGTGTGTAGGATAATGCTGAGAGAAGACTGGGAAGCTGAAGTATCATTGCATAATATTTCAGAATAGTATTTTCTTGCTAATGAGTGCACTGCAAACCTGAAGGCAGCACAAGAATTAGTGGGCTGTGCTCGCTAAACTCATAATGGAATCTGCAGTTGTTGTGTGATCTTATTATGCTCTAAATAACAAGATGTTCTTCTTCCTTTTCTGGAGGATTGGTGGCAATAAAAAAAAAAAAATCGTGATTACAACAGAATCGTTACGACTTGCCTACCATCTACAAATTGTCGTGATATGATCTGTACATAAAAAGAAAGCCAGTAATTGGGAACAATTAGTTCGTGATTAATAAGTTCCTGTTCTGTGATTTGAAAAAACTATCTTTCAAAATTTTATTCTCTCCCTAAAAACTTAAAATGCTTGTTTTTAAGCATTGCAACACTAGGATGTTTGAAGTGGGCATGTCGATTTGTATAATATGATGGGTACATGCATTGTATGTAAAAGGGACTAAAGTCAAGCCAGCTACTAGGATTTCTGTTTTTAAGAGGAGTCACACCTTTGATCCTCTCCCAGTCAAAACTACTGCTCTTCTGCAGTTTGCTGTGGAGAATAGGTAGTATGTATTCTCTGAGATTATTTGAAATGACAGGTGGAACATGTAAGGGAAGCACTGAAGTGAGTTTCAGTGGGGTAGCTAACTTCTGTTCATATACACTGGTATGTGTTGGAGCACTCAGACTTAAAATGCTGATACTGATGATTGACGAGTGATTTTCTTTTTACTGTCTATTTTAGAAAGCTGTGCATAGAGCACTGATTCCGCTACTTGGGGCCAAATCTTCAGCTGGCATACCTAATTGTAACTCTCTTAATGTTATTTACAAAAGTTTGAAGTATATGCCGCAGTGCTGATATACTGATGATGTACAGCATTGCTGTACACCAACAGTACTTATTACCTTTTTTTTTTTTTTAAGAGACTGGCAAGGATCAGCAAAAAAAAAAAAACCCTTTCAAATCACCAGTGATTTTCTTTTCCAGAAACTGTTTAATCCTAACTAGCACAAAGAAGAACATTGGTGATTCTAAACCTCTTACCAGAGCCTTGGGAAACCAAAGTTTCTTGACTTCAGTTTGAGCTATTTTAAATGTTCATGTAAGGGTTTCACTGATTTTGTTAATTTCTCTAAGCCACTCCAGGAGTGAGCAGTGCCACTTTTTCTACTTGTCCTGAGGATAGTATAATATTTTTGAAAGGGTTAAGGAAGACTTTCAGTGCTGCGATCACCACCCATTGTAGAATTGAACCGTAGAACAATAAAATAATAGGAAGATAGAGAAGGGTGGGGTGGAAGAAACTGCACTATTTGAGAGTCAGGAGAGAAAAAGAGAGGAAAGTCTCTGGCTGACAGTTTATTACACTATCTTTAGTAGAAAAGAGAATAAAACAAAAAGAATTTGGCTGTGAGCAATGTAGCTTTTCTCACCTACTCAATGACAAAACGTGCCCAGACCAAAAATAAACTCTGGAAAGGAAGATAACGTCATGTGGATGTTATCTACTGGTGAGATCTGACAGCGGGTGAGCAGATTGTTTAGTATTAAACTAATTGATGCTAAAATAATTTGATATTGTATACCTGATAGTATCCTGAGACTACTGTTCACCATATAATGCAAGCCATTTTTTTGTTTGATTTTATAAACAATTTTTTGTAGCTGCCGAATTGCCTAGGCCAACTCATTCCTCATCAGAGCTGTGTAACCTTTCAGACCCTGGTTAGGCTTTGATAGGGCTAATTGTAACGTCACCCAGTTCTTATCCCCAAAGTTAGCAGTGTGTTTTTAACCTAGAATTACTGTGTAAACACTGGTTATTGGAGCTAATATGCTGTTCGTTGCTGATGGAACTGTTTGTTCTTTCCTGCACCGTTGAGTGCTGTGAACTCGTTGTGGTCTATATCTCATCTAAATTTGTTTCTAGGAAAGATTTTTCATGGAAGTAGGCATTGTAATAACGATAAAAATCTTAGTGTATTCACATTCAGTCAGTTTAAAGACTGTATGTTTGCTTTAACGAAGAGTTGGATTTCTTGGTGTGTGTCACCTGCTATATGGCTCTGCATAACATGCTGTATTATATGGATTCATACTTGCGCTGTGTTTTCATTTGAGCAGAGTTTGAGAGTTACTTTTAACGATTCATCTTGGAATTCTCCCAGTAACTCCGTTTTTAGTATCGCAAAGTGTAGCAATTGACACTGATAACGGAGCAGTTGCAGGCTGTTCCTAAACAAGTGCATATGTTTGCATGTTTACTGCTTATTTTGCGTGGCAGGTGTAAGGATGATGTAGTATCCTCCAAAAAAAGATTGGTACCTTATTCAGCAGAGCATGTATGTGTATGTTTCTTCTCAGTTCTGATGGTATTTCATTAGGGACCTCTGAGTCCCTCTGGGTCTGAGCCTTTGTCATGATTGTCAGCATTGCACCACGTAAAACTGTAAAAGAAACTCATTGCCTCAAGGTAGGCAAAAATGGAATGAGGAAGAACTTTTCTATCTTTCTTAACGGTGCACACATTGCTTGCTATTAGGATCCAAATCTTGTCAGTCCCTTCCCACACCTCCCAGAGTGATCGTTTTCTGTACGGGCTTAATTAGAGCATCCCACAGTTTGGTCTTTGAGGTAGGCTCTGCTTTGTACTAACTGTCAGTTCCTGGGATATGCTTATTAATACACTAAAAAACTGTGCGGTTTTCAGCACTTGAACTCTATGGAATGTTCACTGGGATGTGTGCAGGGTTATATAATGACAACCAGTTCCCTTAAATGTAATATGTATTGTAATATTTATGTATTTAGCTTCACAGAGAGTGACTTTGGAACATGTATATATATTATTTATTGACATTTATGCCCTGCTTGCATCCAGGATGGCCTAACTCAACATCTGTTCTTGATTAAAGTGAGCATCTGGTATTTTACAGATAATTATGAGACATGAGCTTATTGTCCTCGAGGTCTATCAGAGAAATTGGAACCAAACTCTCCATGTAGACAGTGAGACATGTTTCTGATCACACATTTTGCATTGCACTTCAGGGTTTATCTGTTGAACCCTGTTTGCCAGCGGAAGTACCAGCAACATCAGTGCTATATCCAGAAAGGAAAAGAAAGGACCAGAAAGGAAAGAAGTGATGAGGATGTATCCAGCACAGAAGAATAAAATGGGAAAGTTGAAAGCTCTGCTGTTGTTAAACTTTCTCCTTTGCTTATTAATCTGATTTTGTAATCCTTCTTAATTCCTGAGGAATAGGTTTGTTGTATAGCAAAGGAATGAATTCAGGGAGGGGGAATGTAAAAAACAAGTAGTTAGTGACCAGGATATTGAGAGTTTTTTTCCCTGACACATTTTTTATAAAGTTAGGTTGGCTCGGGAGGAAAAACAGCATAAAACCACAGGATGACAGCTATGTACTGCAAGAAGCCTCACAATATTTTGTTTTCTCTTGTTTTGAGCAAGGTGCGTAATTCATTATTGCTCATTATGAGCCATAAACACTAGCTCAATTATGATTAATGTATCCAATAGCCACTTATTTGTGTTTGTACTCTAGTTCATGGCTACAGATATATTAATTAAAGGAGGTTATTACTCTGAACTTAAGCCTGAAAGAAGAGGACTGCAATCTTTGTTTCTTGTTCTCCTCTGTAACAGCATTTCCTAGAATAGCAAGCCTGTGACCAGATAACTTAATACATTCATCTCTTTTAATAGTTCTGATAGCTGCAGGATTTGGTTTCGTACAATCATAGAATCATAGAATGGCCTGGGTTGAAAAGGACTTTGGAGTTCATCTAGTTTCAATCCCCCTGCTGTGGGCAGGGTTGCTAGCCACTAGACCAGGCTGCCCAGGGCCAGTCTGTTTTTGCTCCAGTTTATCTGTATGCACCTGAAAGAAGTTGTTGCGTCAAGAAAACCCCAGCAAAACGCTTTTTCTTCAGGCACTGGCATAGTTTACATTGCTTAGGATCTGTTAAAACACTTGAAAGTCAGAAGGATAGCAATGCAATCACAGATATCAGCGAGATAGTTCAGGTTCAAATTGCAATGCCAAATTGTGCTAGTTGTGATAAATGATGTCTTGTTCACAAACCATGTGTCTGATGTACCAGTTGTGTTTATGCACTTCTTCTGAAAGTGTGATAAGGTGGGAAAAAGTGATTCTTAACCAGATTGTTTAAAGACGTATCTAATGCAGCACCATCACATCTTCTATAGCTAACTCTCAAAAGCAGATAGCGGTTACGTAGTCTCCATAGCTGTAACTCCTCCTACCATCATTTGAATATTAAGAAGCTAAGCAATTTTAGTTTTACTTATACTCTGCAATTGTTTCATTGGTTCTGCTAAGTTCTGCCAATCTGTTGTCATCTTACCTGCAGCTTTTTTCTTTGCCATGACACAGGTATTATTAGTCGCCAGGAGGCAGAAGAGCTGCTGATGAATAAATCTGAAGGAACATTCCTGGTGCGAGTCAGTGAGAAAATCTGGGGCTACGCATTGTCTTATCGCCAACAAAGCGGGTTCAAACACTTCTTGGTTGATGCTTCGGGGGATTTCTACAGCTTCTTGGGGGTAGATCCAAACCGACACGCAACACTGACAGACCTTATTGATTTTCACAAGGTAACACTCGCTAGGTAGAGATCGATAGTTGAGTGGAGGTGATTAATAATTTAAAGAGTAACCACGTAATTTGAAACCACACTAGAGAGAAGTAAGGATAGCAAGGAAAGGAATATATATGTGTGTGTATATTCTAGAGAAAGCCTTGCTTTAACATTTATAGTTGGTATCTTTTGTTGCAGTGAATCAGAAAGCTGTTCCCCTTCTTTCTCTACAGACGTCTCGTGTTCATGTTTCCTTCTAAGCGGAGTCTTCTGCAATGTAAACTTTCATAGGCTAAAAACGGATTAATAAGGGTTGAGAGAACTAACACTTTTTGAGCCTCCTTGCTTTATAGAATTGCGTGGGAAATACCACAGAAAAGGGCTTTTAATGAAATTTCAGCATTTCTAGCCTTTGATGTGAGGGCTGTAATGTACGAAAGCAGAGCAGTGGAGCACTGCAGGAGAGGAATATGGAGGTTTTCTGTTGTAGGGAGGTGCTAAGAGTTGTTCCTTATCATCCAAAACAACTTTATGAGAGTAACTTAATTGAGATCTGTGCTAAGTTTAGATGGGTTTGAATTACTTTGTCTCTAACTCATGTTTCCTGTTTAGCTAAGGAGATGAAATAGAAGCGCTGTTTCTGCTAGCGTAGGCTCTTTCCATCACCTCATCTCTTTCTCCATCCTCTTCATCAGTTTTAATTCTCCTTTTCTCCCTTACCAATGCTTTCAGTTTCTCTTCAACCTCTTTTCTATTTTTCTGTCCCTTTTCTTTTTTCATCTTTTTACCCCTTATCATTTTTTCACTCATACTTCAAACTAATTCTATTATTTTTGTTCTTTAAATCACAGCATTTAATTTTTCCTATATTCAGTCTCACAGACACTAAGCAGAGATTATTTTTGTTCTAATCTCCCTTCCCTTCTGAATCTTTGGTATTTCACTTAGTTTGCAACTTCTCTTCAGTGGAACCTGCAGCTGTAATCCTTAAATTACAACTATTATTAGCAGTACAGTGTACTGTAAGTCAGTTCTTTTGGATTTTATTGGTTTAACAAAATGAAGCTGAGTTTATCAGAATTTGCATTTTATGAAGGAAGAGGAATTATAGCGTGATATGCTTCATAGAAACATAGATGGTCATCAAGGGCAGAAAATCCCAAACTCATTTGGTTTGACTGACAATGATTTATTTGTTCTATTTTTGTTATGACTTTTCTCATCCCAGGCAATCTCTGTACTAGAAACCTATCTATTTACAGACAGCAGTAGAGTACTTTTCAGAAGCTGAATAGCTTGTAGTTCCCGATGTTTAAAGGTTTTTTTAGATATTCCTTGATAATAGGTATTAGTTCCCCCTGTATTGAGCCTGTCAGAGTAACTCTTTCACCTTTCCTTTAATGTCACCAGACAGTTCTCTTTTAAGTGTCTAGTTTAACAGCTACATTAAAACTGCTCCCTTTGACAACCAGTTCTGTAGGCTTCTTATCCTCTCTCTCATACGGTTTTCTTAGAAGCTTCTCTGCCTACCCATCTTGGTGATGTATATTGTCAAGTACCCTACAGCCTTTTGGTAACTGGTTATGCAATTTTGATTTCTCCAAATCAAAAACCCTTTCTCCTGTAGCTATTGCTATATTATTTGGAGGAATTGCTGCCTTCTCATTACTGTTTTTGCCAAGAGTAGAGCTTCCTAACTCAAAAGATGCCAAAACTCCTTGAAGGTTCCTTTTCACTTCCAATCAAAATGAGCAAGGCTGGCATAACTAGTCCTTCAGTTATTAGAGCTTATTCATTTACAGCTGCTTCATTTCAATTAAAAAAGTTAATATGAAGAAATCACTCCACTGATTGTTAATGGGAAGAACAAGTATCTTGCAGAAAGAATGTAAATGTTCCTTTTCAGTTATTTGCACCTACGTACTGTGCAGCAAGCAGCAGTAATATGTCCAACCTAATTGCTAAATCCTTGTATTTGCTTTTTCATAACTTTCTCAAAAGTATTTAATTTGAGTAATAAATTTTCAGAACTTAGCCTGATGAGTGACTGGATGGAACCACGTCTTGGACTCTGTATGCGTTCTGAGGAAACCGGGCACCAAATTTCCACTGCATTTTAATGGAAACTGGATGCCTTTTTAAAAATTTAGGCCTAAAACTTGGATCAAATTTTATGCCATTGCAGTCAGTACCAGTGCATGTGTAAATCTCCAACTTATGCAATAACAAAAATGAATTATCGTGGCTCTAGAAATAATGCAAAGACCGTGTTCTCTACTATTTTAGTAAGTTCTTTATTATTATTATTAGTCTTAGTGATCAATTACTAGAAGTACAGGTTTGTTATGTGGGTATCTAATTGATGAAAAGAGGTGCTATTTTTTAAGATTATTTTTGTCTTAGCAAGATTACTATCTTTTGCTTCTCAGCCAGAAATCTGTTACACTGTTGTGTGTGAGCACTCAGCATTGAGCTCCTGCTCAGTCTTCTTGGGAAAGTTTCCTGCATTGCAAAAGCTGTGGGAGTAGCGCAGTAGGACTGCTATGTCTGTTAAATTAATCATTGAGAACACTTTTTACAGGCATCTATAGCTGTTTGTCTTAGCATAGCAACTTAAAGGTGAGTCAAATCACAGCACTTTTTGTGCATCAGCTATTTGATATTGGCACAATTTAGCATTGACATAAATACAAATTAAAGCAAGAAGAAAATACATAGTTGATAGGATCCCTTAGCTGATCTTTACTTATTTTTATCAAGTATGCTTTGTAGCTGATTACTAATCAAATGTTTCGTTTGTTTTTTTAACACTATCAGCTTCTTTTCTTAGAATTCAGGGAAAGACTTAGATGTCTATGAATGATCTCTAATTTGTTTTACCTTTCTAGGAAGAAATCATCACATCGTCAGGTGGGGAGCTGCTACTGGAGCCATGCGGACAGCAGAAGAATCCACCAGACTACAGCCCTTTATTTGAGTAACCAGGACTCATTGGAATGTGCTCTGGGTAGCTGCAGTAATAATAGAAAGCCACAAAAGTAAACACCAAAAAGTAATTAACAGACTTTCTAAGCCACTGGTCTTGTGGCCAAAGAGTGTCCTCATTAGAAGACCCCAAATGTTTCTGCTCAACATGTGATTTATCAAGATTATTCATATTGCAAGCTTTTTAAAGATGAAAAACTACTGACAGATTACAGATGAGGACTATTTCCAGGAATTTTTAAAAGGTTGTGGCCAATTGTAGTGAAAGCTAAGTTGCTGTCCTAATTTTCCTGACGTTTAAGATTGAAAATGCAAAATCATATACTTTTAACAGATTGAAGTATGGCTGGGAACTATTCGTTGAGTCTTGTGTAATGTACCAATATTGTTGAACAAGCTCTTTTTTCCAAAGCAAAATCTGTTAGTTTCCGTTGATGATCTCTTCACTCAGTTGTGCACTTTTGGAAGCAAGCAATGCAGTCTTAAAATGTCCTTTTCCAGTTTGTGATTGCTGAAATGATTAGATAGAGCTGAAGTCTTTCTATCCTGCTTTTCAATACATACTGACAGAGTTCACTGCAGCAGAGACAGTCGGAACACTCATTCTCATTGTGTTTACAATTACATGCAGTTGAGCTGCCTTGGAAGGAATTCTTCAGTACAAAAAAACAGTCAGTTTAGAATAAACTTGTTATTCTAGTAACCACTTTGATTTGTAGCAGGAACCACAACTCAGACTGACCTTGTCATGTTTAGGTTTTTTTCTGATGTACAAGATGCATGCTTGAGATTCCTACTTCTACTTTGCTATAGTACTAGTTACCTTCCTTGGTAGTACCAGATATCTTCCTTGGCTGAGCTTTAAGTGGTTACTGTAACACCTCTTAACAAATCAATTCAGGAAATGCAGTAAATAACCAATGCTTATTAGCTGGAGTTGCTCTTAGCATCTAGTTCCCAGATAAGACATATGGGCTTTTCACAGCAACTGAGTTTTCTGAGATAGGACATTATTTAGCTGCAGCTGATATCTTGAGATACCATGTGACTTGGAAGCTAGATAAAGAGCCAAGATACCCACGGTGTCTTTGATTTTTTTAAAAGTATGCTTTTGTACAGATCACCAGGGTCTGGATCCTCAAAATGGAATACAGCTCTGCTATTCTGAATATAGACTTAATTAACTCCTCTAGTATAATCTATGATCTCTGTTAAAGGAGAAGCCTGGTGTGGTATGTCTGATCTGGGACCACAGTGCTCCAGAACATGGAGCTCAGCACAGTGGTGATTCACTGTGCATTTCAAATATGGACACTATAAAAGCCGTAGGGAAGCTGCTTTCCACTCTGCCCTCAATAGAACGTTTAGCAAGAGCTATCTAAACCCTCCAAACAGCTCCCGTATCTACTAGCTGCTTTCTTACCTTTCAGAGGTAAGTATCCATACTTGTGAGGACCCATACACACCTCTGAGGCCAGAGTGTTGAAGAAAGGAATTCACATTCACAGAGACTGTTGAGAATAGTTCAATTTATTTCTAATTAAACAGAATGTTCCATTTATGTATGTATGTATGTATTTATTTTAGGGCTAAGAAGGCTTGAGCATATAGCTTTCTATCCTATGTGTCCTGTTCTGATGTAGTCAACATCATAACAGCATCATCATTTTCACTTTGGACTACGTTTCCTAAGTTACCTTCGTGTTGTTAATTTTTCTGCTGATTCCATCCTCTTCTCATTCTAGGTTTTACCTGGCTTTCAAATAATTTTTTTTTAAGTTCCTCTGCAAATGAAATTGCTGTCTGGAAAACTGCAATTTCATCTGAGAAGTTTATTATGCTAATAAATGTCAGAATTCTCAAATAAAGGAATTGCTTTCTTTCTTCTGTAGCTTCACAGAAACAATGAAAAACAACCAGCCGATTCATAGAGTATCAGCAAAGAAAAACTCAACAATATATAACCAGAAGCAGCAGCAGCAGCAGTGAAATAGAGTGCAGCTTGACTGAAGATAAATTTTGAAAGAAACAAAGGGAGATCATAGCAAGGAGAAATTAAGAACAGAAACTTTCCTTGGTAGAGATGTGAGGTTGCTGTCTACACTGATAAAAAACAAATGGGAAAAAAAACACATTGATAAATAATAGGGAAAAATGTGCTTATCCCATTGTTTTGGAAGCATTTTGGCGTTTTGCTGCTCTTGGAGGAAGAATAGGCACTGCAGCCTCTGCTTTAAAGGTTGCCCTTTTCCTCTGCAGGCCTCAGAGCTTTCAGCAGTAAGGTGAGTTTGAGCTCAGTGTACCTTTCACAAGAGTTGGCCTGGTCCTTTTTAAAGCCTTGAACACTGTATCTGCTCTATCCTGTCTACCTCTACATTTGCTGTTTTCTGAAGCTGTTCATCTCCTTGTGCAAAATTTTTTCTTCTGCTGCAGTTTCATTGTCTAGAATGGGCAGTTTTATTCTTTTTTGCAGTGACCTTTAAGCCTCGCTTTCTGATCTGTTTTTCTATCAGTAGCTATTATTGGGTCATAAGAGGTAGGTGTTATGGATTTTCATTATAAAATTTCCAGGCATTTTTTTTTGTCAGTGAGACCACTGGGAATATGATGAGAGACCTACTACAGTAATTCTGTTTCACAGGGAAAAATGTTAAGGCAATAAGGAAAACTTCTAAACGCTTTTCTTTATGTCTGTTTCATAGCAATAAAAAAAAATGGCATGCAAGTTCCCATGCTTACTTGCACATATCTTTAAAAAAGCAGCTCCTGAGGATTTATTCTTATTTTTTCTTGCATTTGTTCCTTCTAGTTCTGTTTTATTCTTTGTATGTGCATACATAGATATTTCCTATTTGCCATTGATGTCTCCTCTAAGGAAGAGCAAAAATCAAGCAAAGGAATTGACAGTAGTCATGGATGAGATTTTCAAGGCTCCTCCAGGAATATAGGTGGCAGTCTATTATCTCCTATAATTACTGTAATGAAATAACTATCTAGAATGAGTGTATTTATATATTACTACTTGTACAAAAGCATAATCCAAACTAGTTATTAAGTTCTGAATCCTTTTTGTGCTGATTAAGTGTTGAACAAAAGGTAGCTCCTGCCTCAACAGATATCTACATAAAAATGCTAGCTGAAGTGGAGATTAGTTTTAGACTTACTGAGTAGAAACTGTTCATAAACACCATGAATTCAGAGAGAGTTTCCACTAGATTTCAATGGCTTTGAATCAAATCTGTAAAACACGTTTCTCTGCTGAAGTGAACCAGGGTTAACACACTGACGACAGTAAAACAATTCAGTTTTCAGAACTAGAGATCTGCTGCTGTTCATTCTCCTAAGTCCCCGCAAGCCTGGCTGCAGAGCATTAATGGAGTTACACCGCATTTCACTGCAGTCTGAATTCTTCTCTTTACTCAATGCAACAAAACAAACTTGATCTCAAGTGAAAAAGGGCTGTTTACAATGAGATAAAAATTTTTTCTTCTTTTCTTTTAGTGAATTTATTTGCATCGTTTACTAGTTTGAGTCTGTTTTTCAATGATATTCAAGGACTGACTTTCTTTTCTGTCTTATTCTGCCTTTGCTTTAGGATTTCTTTTTCTGTTCTTGAGAGAATGGGGTTAGTGACCTCTGTGAAGTAATAATGTGTCCCTGGCTGGGCTATCAGTTACAGAATGATGTGTTTGCACTTGACCAGATGTTTGATTTGTGTTTCCTGAGATGAATCTTTTGACATGCTGTCTGATGATAATGATACTTAATTGATTTTTATAGCTCGTTTCTTGCTACTCAAGTGCTGCATGAAACCTCTTCAAATATTTGTTTACTGCTAGCAATTAGTCCTGTAGCTTGTACACTTACATTATGATCCGTAGCTAATGCAAATTTTCTAGTAGGCTGGAGCCTTCAGTGAATTTTGTTTCTACTCTCTTGGAATTTCTGCCAGTAGTTTTAAATTAAGGTAATAATTTTATAGTGTCTTTATTAAACGTTGATATTTGATTTTTCTTATGGAGAATAAATCGGTTTAAAAGAGGTTGGACATTTAGTTGGGTCTTAATTGTGTCCTTTTGTGTGTGCGAAGGAAATGCTTAGCGTGTTAACGTCTCCTTTCAAGTTGTGCTGCCATTTCTGCTCTGTTCTCAGTTTTAATGAGAATTCTGTGTGGAAGAAGGTCATGCAGTCATGAACAATTGAGAGAATAGGAAAGAAAAAGAGCTCAGATTGTCTTTATTTCACTCAGCTTTATGTATAACAGTTGACCAAGTCTTGCATTTAATATTTCATAAGACATGGTGTTTTACCTGCTTAGCATGCGGAGGATCTAGGGTGAGACTTACTGACATTACTTTTATCCAACAGCAACAGGAAAATACTCATACAGCATGTAACTCCCAAATGGAGTTGAATGAGTAACATTAGGTACTCCAAGAGTGGTACAAAAGTAGCGTACAGAAAAAGTGAAAATCTAGATCAAGAACGTGGTAAAGACAGTTTGTATATAGCTATGTAGAGCTAAGAGTGTTTACATATCCTCATTTGGTAGAAGTTCCTTTTCTTATCATTAATGCTCAATCCATATGAAGACATGAGCAATATTAATGCTATTTCTATTATTCTAAAAATTCCTGGGATGTAGATTGCCTGAAAGGGAAATCAGAAATAGTTCTCGCAGACAAATTATTATGCATTACTATGCGGTATTTGGGGCAGATAATTTTTAGATTTATTGTACGTAACTGCTGGGATATGAGAATGTAGGAGATAAACACTGCTCACCACATAAACCATAATGAAATTTTGTCATTTTTATAGCACTTGAAATTCAACAAGGAATAAAGCTGTCCCAGGTTATACTCCTCTCTTGTAGGAAATGCTGTCCGTGTCATAAAAAAACAGAAACTCATCTAGGAGATTAAACTTAATAATGGACTTAAATACTACAGGAAATAATTTCAGAGGCCTACGCTAAACATTGCACCGCTCTTAGTAAGATAACCTATTGTGCTTTCTTCTTAGTTCTCAAACCCCTCTTGTTTGTGACAGCAATCCGACTTCATGGAGGATGTATTACAGTATGTGAGACGTTATCATTTTTACCATTAACTTTTTATTTCAGAGTCTCTGAGAAAAAAAATCAGAGAGCAATGACGAAATGCACACAGTTCTGGTCTGACTGTTAAAGGGTATTTCGTTACCCCTTCAGTGCTGCATTTGCAGCATGCTGGTTGGTCTGTTTTGAATTTTGGTGTGCTATGTGCTGTGTGGCAACCTATTTACGCTTAAAATAAAAAACAAACAACAAGACAACAAGCCATTAAGTGCTGTGCATGTGAGTAAACTGTTGCGTAGGTCAAAAATCTTCACCCGGTTCCAATGCTGAGCAGTTACAACATCCACTGGAATTCGTGTGGCAATTCTTACAATCACCCTTCATTTTTCCCAGAAAGAAATGGAGTTTTAAAACCTTGCATTGACATTTTTAAAAGTAGAACTGTCCTATTTTTGAAATACTCAAAGCTTTTCTAAACGTAGCCGTGTTTTATAATTAAATAGCTTCGAAGTATCTACAGGTATTTTTTACTGGAGAAAATATGAGAAGTACACAAAAGTTTATCTCAAACCATTTCTGTGCTTTAATAAGTTCTCAAAAATGTGTTGCGTTAGGCACCAAAGTCAGTACAGATATTCAGTGTTTTTGAAATTTGAATAGGTATCCATTTGCTCCTTATTTTCCTTTTGGGGAGGAATGGAAAACCCAGTGAATAGCTATTCAGAACTTCAAGCGCGTTAAATAATCTGAGTTGACAACTGAAGTGTATATCTGAAGGCTTAAGACCCCAGGTAGTGTTTTCTTCAGAAAAAATCAAGCTAGCAAGTTAGATGATTCAGGAAAAAACAAAACAAAACAGTATCCATCGCAATTTTGAATATTTTTGTATTAAATACTTAGATCTTTTTGGTACGATTTCAATTTATGTTCTTTGTTTTGAGTGCTGAAAAATCATTAAGAGAAATGATAAGTAATAAGCTGGAAATTAAAAATACTATTCCAATTTCTTAGAAAGTGGACAACACTTTCTACGCTGTAGTTATGTAAAAGGCTAAGCCTATTAATTAACTTTCTGTTGGAAAAAAGATCTAATTTTCTAAGTTGTCATTGTGACTAATCACAACAGCACTCTCCTCGTGGGTGAAGGGTTCTGATTAAGAAATATAAAGTTCTGACTACACAGCCAAATGTTCAATGAAACATTTGCAATGAACATGTTACATGCAAATAATAAATATTTAAAAACAAAAAAAACAAACCCCACCTACATGAGAATTTTTTTTATAGGGTACATTTCTTGAGTGAGATTTTGCGTGTAGTTTTAATATATAGACATGCTATGTGTAGATGTGCATCCTACAGAGTAGCCATCATCATACAGGAGAAATGGATAGCTTGACCTCAGTCAAGCTAGAAACTTTGATTTCAGAGTTCCAGATCAGGCTGGTGTCAGATTCTCCATGAAAGATGATTGGTTATTTGAGAATATGTGGGGTTATCAGAGAACAAAAAAATGTTTGAAATCTTGAAATATTTTCCTGATAGGAAAAAAAAATATTTTCCTCTTCCTGCTTTAAATAACAGCCAGTTTGCAAAGGACTAAAAGGAGGCTTTACGAAACTGCTGCAGCCATCTTTTTCCTGTTGGTGAGCAGAGATTTGAACAATTTGTTGAAGTCTGTGAGAGACAAATGGGTAATAAGGATTTCACAGCCAGGTCATTTTTTATTTATTCCGTTCTACAGCACCGCACACAGAGTCGTGAAGTGCTAACCTAGCTGTTCTTAGA